ACATCAAACTGCAGGAGCTGCAGTCCATCTGCTGGCCAAATGGCTTCAAATTACCAAATGTTCAAGCCTAAAGGCCCCAGCAAGACAAAAGGCAAAAGGGAACATCAAACTGCAAGAACGCCCAACTGCTGGCCAAGCGGTCTCAAAATACCAAACGCGATTCAGGGGCGCGCACGATTCAGGGTTAAGCGCGCACGATTCAGGCCCACGCGCGCACGTTTTTTGGGAGCAAAAAAAGCACAAGAAAATAGAAGGCGCAAAAAAAGCACACACGATTTTTGGCTGACCCCTGTTGAGGGAGGCGGGGTATTTACCCCGCCCGGCTCAGCAGCCCCACGCGCGCGGGGTTGCTGAGAGGCAAGGGGTAAACCTCCGCGAGGCTGTTGAGCCAGGCGGGGCACATACCCCGCCTCCCTCGACAGGGCCAAAACCAGCCTCTCAACAACCCCGCGCGCGTGGGGCTGTTGAGCCGGGCGGGGTAAATAATCTCCTCCCCCAATTAATGAATGACCCCCATGAATAATAAATGCAAATCCGGGGCTCGAGACCAGATTTCCACTCCGCACAATTGATTTTTAATTGCGCCAATACTAAACCAATACTAAAGTCTTGGAATCCTTATTAGGGGGCACTTTTAACAAGCTTCCAGCCCCACTTTTAAGCTGCGACTGTCTCTCCCCCATACATGCTGGCTAACCTGCCTGGCTGCCAACAAACAACCAGTAAACTGAAAAACAAATAGAATGATACATGCAATTTTCTTATTAAACCGCTTACTCGCGGACCTTACAATTCAATCCATTTCCTCCAAATCCTATGCGAACCCTCACATTGTTGGAAAAGCAAAAAAACCCAACCCCGAAAACCCCAATTAAAAAAACATCTATTTTTTGGAGGATTTATTTATAATAGGGAGGGGGGGGGCCGTATTTATTAATAGGGGGAAGAGATTACCCCGCCTCCCTCAACAGGGGTCTAGATTGAGGCAACCTTTCAAAAACAATTGGCCGGAGTATAAGCCAAACAGCGTGACCCTGTATCGTGCGCGCCCGGCCCTGTACCGTGCGCGCCCGGCCCTGTACCACGTGCACGCACCCGCGCGCGCACGCGCGTTGTACAGATCACGCACGTTGCACAAACCACAGGAGCGCGCGCGATTCACAGCCAGGCTGAAGTTCTTTCAGCTTGGTGCTCCCTTCTGCCTTGCTGCGGCTTTTGGGCCTGAACATTTGGCATTTCGAGGCCATTTGGCCAACAGCTGGGCTAAAGTTCTTGCTCCCTATTTTGAGGCCATTTGGCCAGCAGTTGGGCTGCAGCTCCTGCAGTTTGATGTTCCTTTCTGCCTTGCTGCGGCCTTTGAAGTTGAAAAGTTGCAACTTTCAGGCTATTCGGCCAGCAGCTTGGGGCCTTTGGGCCTGAAAATTTGGCAGTTTCAGGCTATTGGGCCAGCTGTTAGGCTTTGGTGTTCCTTTCTGCTTTGTTGGGGCCTTTGGGCCGGATATTTTTGCAATTTAAGGCCAAAGGCATAACTGCAAGTCAATACACGCGGCTCAGCGTGCGGAGCTCGGCAGGCGAGCCCAATGGCGCTGGCAGGTGGGTTCCTAAGGTTACTTTCCTTAGGCGCACGGAATTTGCCTGGGAACAGCCACGATACAAAAACAACAATTAAGCTAATTAAGCTTGGGGAGGGTAGCTGGTGCTGAGCAAGCGCCGCTTAAACCTTGTCAAACATAATTATTGCGCCAGTGAACGGCCATTCCCTACCTGTGATTTTGAGCTTGGAGTTCTAGGGCGCCAAGCCGGGGTCAACTGATATTGCGGGGCGGGTTGTGCTGAACAAGCCCCGCGTCCCAAATGAAAAAGGTTACGCACATGTACCCCGTCCCATCCTGAACAGCAAAATGCGCGCCCTCTTGCCCGCCGCCGCCGCCCAATGAGGTTCCGGGCTGGACAACGTCAAGGGCTCCGCGCAATCGTGCTTACGCAGCACTGTTTTTGGCGCACGCACTTTCACAGTACCTCATCTGCGTAGCGCTTTTGCAGCGCCGTTTTTGAGGCACTTTTGCAGTACCGCGCTTTAATACCGCTTTTGCAGCGCCGTTTCTGGGGCGCTTTTGCAGCACCTCATCATCTGAACAGCGCTTTTACAGCGCTGTTTTTGGGGCACTTTTTTCAATACCTCCTCTGAGCAGCGCTTTTGCAGCACCTCATCATCTGAACAGCGCTTTTGCAGCACCGTTTTTGGGCCACTTTTTTCAGTACCTCATCATCTGAACAGCGCTTTTGCAGCGCCGTTTCACCGCTTCTTGCAGCACCCAGTCACGCATTGCACTTTTGCGGCAATTTGCCTTAGAGCCTTGAAAGCGCTTTTGCAGCACCTTGGCATGAATGGCGCTTGCGCAGTACCATATTAAACATGCGCTTGTGCACCATCTTTCCTTCACCACCTTTGAAGCACCAAGTTGAAGCACCACGTTTGAAGGCTCTGGCCCTCCCACACTGACTTTCCCGATTTTACGGTTCGCCTTGTCCCCCTCCTCCCAGTGAAGTTCAAGCAGGCCACGGGGATCTTGTCAATCAACATTGGGGCAGGCAACAATGGCTCTGCCTTTCCGTCGCCCAAACAAATCAAGCAGGCCTTCTGGAAAACACGTGGGCGCTAGTTTTTAGCTTTTTGCGGCATTTTGTTTTGAAAGCGACATAGCTGTATTTCAAAACCCCTGTTTTGCAGCGTGCGCATTATGTGTGTCATGCTTAGTTCGTTTACAGATTCATGGCAAATGATTTACGGCTTTGCCTCTTACTTGCTGAACAAATATATGCTCAAACAATGGCATGGCGCGGTGTGGACAATGCGCTCAGGTAACCTTCAAATTTAGCTTCAAAATGCAGCAGAAACACCAGCCGTCGGAAAATTGCACCAAGTTCAGCCTCAAACTTCCCAAAGAAATTACAGCCAAAACCCAAGGCGCGAAAGCGCAATACAAAGCAAAGCCCAGTTGAACCTGTAGTGTTTCCAAGGCATCCAGAAGAACCAGCGAGTCGCGAGTCGTACGGTCTTCGCTGCCGCAAGGACAAGACAACTCAGGGCGAAAAAACCTGTTGAAGATGGTTCCACTGAAAGAAAGGACCGTCGCAGAGCCTGCACAGACGAGATCGCCGTATGGCGTGGTTCTACTTCCAAGGACAAAGGGCCAGATGTGAGAGAGTCCGAGGCGGGCAGAGCTGAGAAGCCCGGGCAACATTCATCGTCAAACTGGAACTCCGGAGTCACAGTTGGAGCATTCCTGGTATAGGGATGACTGGGGGAACCAAGATGGTTCAAGAGATGACCCATCCTACAAAGAGCATTCTATAACCAGATGTCGCCCGCTATTGGGCAACACGCGCTCCCTGACAGATCCTCCAAATGTGTGAGATGATAAACTGCAGAAGAAGAGCGAGCGCGGTACTGCGCAAGGCTGGATCTATCCACGGGAAGCGCGACGCAATACCAACCAACCGGTGTCAGATTTTTCTGCAAAAATCGTATCTTCATATGCAATATTCTTCCCCACGATGAGAGCCTTTTCTATCGGAGTTCAACTTCGCTGCGCATACTCTTCTGCGCCGACTTTCGTAGAGCCGCACGCGTCCACACGCACAAACGTGCATCCGTCGCACAACTCTTTTTGAGCCGGGTGATTAAATCACTCCATTGGCATTCACACACAAGTTTTGTAGCGCCATGAGTGGAACGACATTTGTGTGTTCGTTATGTCACACAAGCTTCGAATCCTATATCCAATACCATCTGTCAATCTTTTAGCCACACGAAATGTCCTTCCCATGGATGCTGGAGGACGCTGATCGCGTTGCAAACGCGACACGCGAATCCTACCTTTCCTCCAACTTTGCAGGACTCTGACGTGTGACACCCGAATCCTAAAAACAATGCTTTAGCCGCAGTCTCTCACGTGACATCCGGGTTTTAGCCACATTCTCCAACGTGACATCCGAATCTGATGTTTTGTTTTCTCCTTTCTGCTGCGCTTGATGCTCATGTGCGATTCCCGGTCGCATGTCTCAAGCCTGGTGTGAGTTGAGAATTCAACTCACTGTAAAAGGGGGGTATATTTCTACTTACGTAACCAAACGATACCTAGTGTGTTGCACACCCTCAACATCCTCCGCTCATGCGTCGCAATGGGTTCGTGGAAAGCGGTTGTTCGGACCCCGCCACCAAAGAACCGCCAGCAAACTTGGAAATCTGATCAGAACCAGCCCAACGCACATAAGACGAACTAGGCGAATGAACAGTTTAGAAGCTCGTTGCTGTTGCTGTTCAACATGACACTGCGCAACCAATTCTTCTCACGCATAGAAAAGGTGCAGCGACAAGCTTCTTACCTGAACATGTGCAATAACAAACCTACTCACCGCCTGTCTTTAAAACCAGAGGGCGTTCGTAGTTTGAGGGGGAGGGTTAGCACACACAATTCTAAAAATATAAATCTGTATGTGTATGTGTGTGCAACCAAAATACCTTCCAAACATTTCACACAGTCCTTCAACTCCGAAGCAAAAGGCTAGATCCGCCGCACTGGCATGCTGTTTGACAGCTTATTTGAAACGCTCAGCTCTGATGTGCTCGGGCCCAGTTTCATAAGCCGAGACAATGGTTGGGGAGTCTGGGGGCATATCTGTGCAGTTTTATCCAACCTTACAAATCACATGAGCGCGGCAAACCGTTCGCAGGTTTTTGCCTTGACGCAGACCTGGGACGCAATTCCTGAATTTGAGGCCAAACAACTGGCGCAGCGATTACACACCCTCACCAATTGAAGCCACGATGTAGTTTGACCGGTGCTCCGTTGTGTTTTTTTCAACATGGTTTGTGCAGATGTTGAGGCAGCGCAGCATGAACAGTAGAGGATTGGTCCCCGCCAAACCCATGCTGTTCCACACCAAAACCAGAAATTTCCCACACCAGCAGTCCACGCGTTTGTTGCCAATTGCAGGTGATGGCAGACGCCTGCGCGCACCGCCTGGCGCCCTTGTCTGAGGGCCGGATCGAGCCAAAGACGGGCTGCTTGCAGCCACCCGGATGGAGACGGTAATTTGGCTTTCATCTTTTTTGCATTGCTTACTGGAAATAATCAAAGGCGTGTGTTCAATGGGTTAGAACGGTTTGTTGCAATGATTGGTTCTATGTGCTGGGTGCAAATGGCAATTGAGGCAAATTGCGGTAGATCTGGGCTGGGAAACACGTATGTTCCGTGTGTTTGCGCTATCTGCTGAGTTTGGCGCTTTGAAGCAAAAGCATCACGGCCAGCTGGCAAGCTTAGGTGCGCTTATCACGGCTGGGAGTTCAATTCGCAGGGAAACTGCCAGCGCATCCCGCAAGTGGAGGAGAACTCGCGCCCTCAACACCCCCGCCAAGTACTTGATTTTGCAGTACGTTTGCCGCCTTGGTCACGCACAGACACAGCCAAGCCCCGGCATCAGTTGACTGCCAGAGTCCTATTCTCAAACGCTTTTGTCTTGCGAGTGTGCAGTCAGGAGGCTGCAGCTCAGAAGATGCGTGAGAGCCCTTGCTCTCAGGCGCTTTCGGAGTGCCCTTGCTACGAAGTGCGTGATCCATTACGACCTACGCCAAAGACAGAGTCACGCAGCGCAACGTGAACATAGGGGTCTCAACGGCCCCGAAATTTACATGGCGCTTTCTTTTCTGGCATCGACGCAGCCAGCGTCGGCCTTGCAAAAGTACCGCCAACCTAGAAGCTGTCAACACGGGCAAAGCAAGCGCCTGGCCCCTGTCAACTTTAGCTTGGAACGAATCGTCTTGTTGGATTCTTCTGCCGCTTCAACACAAGGTGTAAACTATCGTCGCGGCGCGTGCAGCGCAACGGGTGTTCCCGCCTGCAGGTGACAAACCAAACAAGCCAATCAAGCCAAACAAACCAAACACGCAAACAAACCAAGCAGGCAAGCAAGCGAGCCTGCGAGCGAGCAAGCGAATGAACAAACAAGCGTGCCCGCGCAACAACGCGCGCACGCAGCCCCAACCACGCACATGACTACGCGTATTCACGCGCGCGTCTCAGTTGCCTGCAAACGCTGCGCGTTGCCTGCCTTGGCCCAGACTAGCCAGCTGGTCACGTCGCGATTCACAGGTGCGAGGTATGCAGTGGGACAGGCCTGGACTGCTGGACTGCGCTGAGCTTGGGCTGGCTGAGAGGCACGGGTTAGGGCTGAGCGCCCTTTGTTTCAAGGGCCGAGGCGAAAAAATAATGTTATCGCGCAATACTCGCAAGTTCACAAATCAGCGCAGCGCAGTGAAGCAGTGAGGCAGTAAGCAGAGAGGCAGTGAAGCAGTGACGCAGTCGAACAATCGACAAGAATGCGACAAGGGGAAATCGCTGTCGCTTGAGCGCTAGGTGCCCTCCTTCCCCACGAGGCTTGCCTTGAAAATGGTCTGGGTTTGGTTGGGCGAGGGCGGCCCCAAGGGCCATCCGCTGGATGTAGTCCAAGGCGCGGGGGCCTGGGCGCAAGCAAGTTGCCCGTGTGCCTCCATGGCTTTTGCTTGTTTGCTTGTTTGCTTGTTTGTTTGTTTGTTTGTTTCTTTTTGTTGGCCTGCTCGCCTGCCTGCATGTGCTTGCCTGGCTCTTTGTGTCTGCCCGTGACAGCTCGTTCTGCTTGTGTCTGCCTGTCTGCCTGCCCGCCTGCCTGCCTCCCTGCCTCCCTGCCTCATTGTGTCTTGTGTTTTTGCCTGCCTGCCTGCCTACTACCTGCCTTGCTTGCTTGTTTGCTTGCCTGTCTATTTGTGTCTACTTATGTCTGCTTGTTTCTGCCTGTCTGCCTGCCTGTGCGCCTGCTTGTTTGCGCTCACGGCGCTTGGCAACCGTGAGCGCCCAACTCCTTTCTCTAGACAGTGCAGACACACGCACGCAACCACACCAACACAAACGCAACACACGCAAACGCAAACACAAACCCAAAGCCAACCGCAGCCGCAACCGCAAACAGAACCACAAGCGCAAACACAAACACAAGCACAAACCAGAACACACAAACACTCGCAGCACACACAAACACATAAACAAACAAACACGCACAGACACCAGCACGCGCAAAGACGTACGCGCGCACAAAGTCGCGCACAGGCACGCAAAGAAACAAGCAAACAAAGAAGCAAAGAAACAATCAATCAAAACAGACACACAAACACACCAACCAAAAAACCGCTCAAACGCACAAACGCACACACACACACACAACACACACAGACACAGAGACGGACACAAACACACAAAACCATACACAAACCCAAACAAACACACGCACCAACACACACACAAACGCACACACACACAAAGACCCACAAAGACACACACATACACGAAGACTCGCGCAAAGACACACACACACACGCGCAAAGACGCACGCGCAAAGACGCACAAAGACACAAAGCGCGCGCGCCCAAAGACACAGAGACACACACAGACCAACGTAGAAACGCGTTCAAAGACACGCCCAGACACACCAACACACGAACAAAAAGACACAAAGACGCACGCCCACACACGAAGACACGCTCACTAGCACACACAAAGACCCACACGCAAAGACACGCGCAGAGGCGCACGCGCGCACACACACACACACACCGCGACACACACAGCCAGACACACACACACACCAACACACAAACACACAAAGACACACCCAAGTACACACACACGCACAAAACACACAGAAACACAAACACACACACACGCACGAACGCACGCACGCGCGCACACACAACACACCCGCACAAACACACAAACACGCACACACACACACGCGCGGACAAAATCACTCACTGACACACAGACACTACCACACAGACACTAACAAAAACACACCATCACACACACCAACACACAAGCGCACGCACACTAACACACACACAAACACACACACACACACACACACACACACACACACACACACACACACACACACACACACACACACACACACACACACACACACACACACACACACACACACACACACACACACACACACACACACACACACACACACACGCACGCATCCGCACACACCGCGCACACACACACACACACACACACCGCACGCGCACACACACACACACGCACACCATCACGCGCACGCACGCACGCACGCGCACGCACGCGCACGCGCACGCGCACGCACGCGCACGCGCACGCGCACGCGCACACGCACGCACGCGCACGCGCACACGCACGCGCACGCGCACGCGCACGCGCACGCGCACGCACACGCGCACGCGCACCACGCGCACGCACGCGCACGCTCACGCCGCGCACGCGCTCACGCGCACGCGCACGCGCACGCGCACGCGCACGCGCACGCGCACGCGCACGCGCACGCGCACACGCACACGCACCCGCACGCGCACGCGCACGCGCACGCGCGCACGCGCACACGCACACGCACGCGCTCACGCACACGCACACGCACACGCACACGCACACGCACACGCACACGCACACGCACACGCACACGCACACGCACACGCACACGCACACCCACACACACACACCACACACACACACGCACAAATTCACGCGCACGCACACAAACACAAACGCGCGCGCAACCGCACAAGCCCAGGCACACACACACACAAAACCGCGCGCAAACGCGCAAATGCACACAAACACGCACAAGCACACACACACACACCAAAGACACCCACACGCACAAGCACACAAACAACCACACACAAACAAACACGCAAGCGCACACAAAGACAAATTTGTACAAACACACATGCACAGACACAATCCTTGCCAAGCCTTTGCGTTGCCATGCCAATGGGCCCATGCTCCACACGCGTCCGAACGCTCGCCCGACCAGGGGCCACGATCAGGCGCCAAAACCTGGAGAGGGTTGCGCTAGCGAGAACCCAGCATCGCCGGCATGCCCGGCAGCGCTTGGCGCCAGAATGCGCGAAAATGAGCCTTGCTTATACCCCTCCGACACCTTCTAAAAAACAGTGCTTCATGGGTTGAGAGGCTTTTTGGAAGGAAGCCTTGATGATGCAAACCGATTCGGTGTCCCCCTGATTGCACTCCCTCTTGCGCCCTGTTTCTCGAGGACGCACAGGTGAGAACAATGAGCTGCTGGAGCATCGGGGGTCGGGCGTTTGTCGTGTGTCGGCGGGAGGGGCCACTGTACCACTGTGTAAGTGGCGGGCCGCTGTGTAAGCGGCGGATGATGCCACTGTGTAAGTAACGGACGATGCCACTGTGTAAGTGGCGGGCGAGGCCACTGCACAAGTGACGGATGATGCCGCTGCGTAAGTGGCAGGGATTTGCGAGCGCTGAGCAAGCGCAGTGCCGAGCAGCCCCTCTCCTGGCCAGATTTGCCCGTGACATCCCCAGCATCACCAGCTTCAGGTGAAAACAAGGCTGGTTTTCCACTCCCCCTCTTGGAGCCCTCTCGCACCCTGTTTTGTGCTCGATTGATGGCTGAAAATTGAACAGATGGGGCTGCGCAGGTTTTAGCCCTTGGTTCCATTTGCCCAGGTGCCATGTTGCTACATGTGTTTGACCCACAGCCAAATGAAGGACCAATGCCAACTCACGACACAGACGTTGGGTCGTATATGAAATATGAAAAGAAGAACAGAAGAAGAGAAAGTGAAAACAAGTGTGAGTGTGAAGAGCATCTTTGGCATGATAATCGTCATGACGCATCCGCAGCATCACCAGCAGTCATCATGATAATCATGTCCACGCATCTTTTGCATCTCAAGTCGCGTGATAATCATGATGACGCATCCTCAGCATCACCAGCAATCATGATCATCAAAGCTATCAAACGTCACACTTGAAATACCACCAGCAGTCATGATGATTCACCAGCATCACAAATCCGACGAATCCGACCACTTGCGGTTTTGGCTGACATAAATGAGAAAGCGTGTGATTTCTTAGGCTGCCTCCGCAAGCATCAACATGTCTTAGTTTGCGGTTGTTGTTGTTTTTACAAGATATTCCGCACGCCTCGAACACAACGACGCCTCAAGAAGTGTCATGGCAAGAAGTGCGCCCAGGCTAATCAAATGGCAGAGCTTGCCTAGCTGACCTGTGTATCTAGGGAGCAGATTCTGTGACGCACTTGGCCACCCCGGAGCAACAGAAAGCACGCGCGGACTCATCCGACCACTAGAGGCAGTGGTCGACGCGAGCGCAGCACCAGCACCGCCAGCATCACCAGCGACACAAATCCGACAAGTTGGACCACTTTCGGAAGAGGTCGGATGGAGCGGCCCCGCATCGCCAGCGTCACCAAGCACACACCTAGCATCGCCAGCAGCGCCAGCAGCATCCGCGGCAGCGCAAACACCAAGCAGCACCAGATGCAGAAACTCAACCCATTCGACCACTTGCGGAAGGGTCGGATGGGGCGGTCTAGCATCGCCAGCATCGCCAGCATCGCCAGCAGCATCCGCGGCACCGCCAGCAACACCAGCATCACCAGCAAGTCAAATGTAATCCATCCGACCACTCTCGAAGTGGTTCGATGCAATACCAATGCTGCCTCATAAGAGACGATGATGATGACCATGAGGATGATGAGAAGGATGATGACTATGATGATAAGGATGATGACTGTGATGAGAAGTCTCAGCGTAGCAAGAGATGATGATGCTAAGGATGATGACGATGATGACAAGGATGATGACTGCGGTGCTAACTATCATCGTAGCGTCGTCTGCATTACCAATGCTGTCTCATAAGAGATGATGATGGTGCGGATGATGACTATGATGATAAGGTTGAGGATTTTGATGATACCTATCATTGTAGCATCCTCTGCATCACCAGTGGTGCCTAACGCCACACTTGAAACGTATGCATGAAGAAGAAAGAGATGATGATGACCATGATGATGATGAGAAGGGTGATGATGATGATGACCATCCATCATGATGATGATAAGGGTGATGATGATGCTGACTGTGGTGAGAACTATTATCGTAGCACCTTCTTCATCACCAATGCTCCCTAACAGGGGATGATGATGACCATGAGGATAATGATGCTAAGGATGAAGACTGTGATGATAACTATTATTGTAGCAGCGTCTGCGTCACAATGCTGCCTGATAAGAGATGATGATGGTGATAAGGACGGGGCTTGTGATGATAACTATCATCGCAGCATCCTCCGCATCACAAATGGTGCCTAACGCCACACTTGAAATGTAAACAAGAAAAAGAAAGAGACGATGATGACCATCATGACGATGATGAGAAGTTGATGGTGATGATGGTGACTGTGATGATAACTATCATCGTAGCATGCTATGCATCACCAACTGCCTATTAAGGGATGATGGTGACCATGAGGATAATGATGACAAGGATGAAGACTGTGATGAAAACTATTATGGTATCGTCGTCTGAATTACCAATGCTGCCTCTTAAGAGATGATGATGACCATGATGATAATGGTGATAAAGATGAGGATTGTGATGATAAATGTCATCGCGGCCTCTGCATCACCATTGGTGCCAAACGCCACACTTGAAACGTATAAAAGAAGAAGAAAGAGATGATGATGACCATCATGATGATGATGAGAAGGGTGATGATGATGATGACGATCATCATGATGATGACAAGGATGGTGATGATGATTGTGATGATAACTATCAGCGTAGCATCCTCTGCATCCTAAATGCTCCCTCACAAGAGATGATGATGATGATGATAAGGATGATGACTGCGATGATAACTATCATCGTAGCATCGTCTGCATTACCAAGATGATGGTGAGGATGATGACTATGATGATAAGGCTGAGGATTGTGATGGTAACTATCATTGTAGCATCCTCTGCATCACCAATGGTGCCTAACGCCACACTTGAAACGTATGTAAGAATAAGAAAGAGATGATAATAACCATCATGGTGCTGATGAGAAGGGTGATGATGATGATGACCATCCATCATGATGATGATAAGGGCGATGATGATGATGACTGTGATGATAACAATCATCGCAGCATCCTCTGCATCACCAATGCTGCCTACTAAGGGGTGATGATGACCATGAGGATAATGATGCCAAGGATGAAGACTGTGATGAGAACTATTCTTGTAGCATCGTCTGCAGCACCAATGCTGCCGAAAAAGAGATGATGATGGCCATGATGATAATGATGATAAGGATGAGGATTGTGATGACAACTATCATCGCAGCACCCTCTGCATCACCAATGGTGCCTAACGCCACAATTGAAATGTAAATAGGCATAAGAAAGACATGATGATGACCATCATGATGATGATAAGGGTGATGATGATGATGACCACCATCAGGACGATGATAAGGATGATGATGGTGATGACTGTGATGATAACTATCATCGCAGCATCCTCTGCATCACCAATGCTGCCTATTAAGGGATGATGATGACCATGAGGATAATGATGCCAAGGATGAAGACTGTGATGATAACTATTTTTGTAGCATCGTCTGCAGCACCAATGCTGCCGAAAAAGAGATGATGATGGCCATGATGATAATGATGATAAGGATGAGGAGTGTGATGACAACTATCATCGCAGCATCCTCTGCGTCACCAATGGTGCTTAACGCCACACTTGAAATGTAAATAAGAATAAGAAAGACATGATGATGACCATCATGATGATGATGAGAAGGGTGATGATGATGATGACCATCAGGATGATGATAAGGATGATGACGATGATGATGATGATTGTGATGATAACTATCATCGTAGCATCCTTTGAAGAACACTCCAGCTACAAACGTTCTCTTGGAAACAGGGCGCTGCGCACGCGCGCGCTCGGACACACTCGAGCGCGCGTGATCCAATGATATTTCAGTTGAGTGTGGCTTGACGTGATGAGTTGGGTGCCTAGGCGCCATAGCAGGATCAGTTTGTTCACAACGGTCTCCCTCTGGGCAGACAGATTGTATTCAGCAGCTCAGGCAAGGAGGCAGTCTTTCACTTGCGCAGACAGAAGAGCAAGAACACTCGGGAATGCAAATTCAATGCAAAAGTGCTGCGAAACACAGTGCGTGGGACAACTCCCACGATTGCTGCTCTTGACGGTGCGTTGTTTGACCGTTGCGATGAAAGTGTCAGCGGGGCTTCACGGTCTTTTCTGGGACCTTGCCTGTTTGCTTGTGTCTTTTTTTGTCTGCCTACCTGCCGTCTGCCCGTCTGCATGCCTGACGCCTGTGTTTGCTCGTGTCTACTCGTGTCCGCATGCCTGCCTGCTCAACTTTTGGCTCTGGCTGTGTCTGCTTGTGTCTGCTCGTGTGTGCTTGTGTGTGCTCCTGCCTGTGTGCTGCCTCTCTCTCTGTCTGCCTTCTTGTCTGCCAGCCTATTGTGTCTGCTGTTGTCTGCCTACCTTCCTGTGTGCCTGTGTGCGTTTCTGCCTGTCCGTTTGCCTGCGTCTGCCGGCCCGCTGCTTGCCTTTGTTTCTGTCCTTGAAGTGGGTTTCTTAAGAAGAAGCAACTGCACTTTGTCAGTTGAACCCTTACAGGTGTGGAATTCCAGAGTGGGAACGTCAGCTGTCTTATTTTGCGTTTCAGCTCCAAGCTGGCCATGGATGAGGTTTGCTGGCAAGCTTTAGCTACACTGCGGTGAGGCACGCACCTGGAGTCTGAGTTTGAAATTGTCGGCACCTACACTCGGGACCTACCTTATGGCTGCACGGCTGGTCTGGGTAGCAATCATCCTAGATTGACAGTCGGGCAGGGTGGGCAGGAACAGAATGTTTGCTTAGGCTATGACAGCCTTGTTGAGAACCTGATCGATGTCTCGCATGTGCCATTTGCGCATCATGGTTTGCAAGGCAAGACCTAGATTGCGCGCTGGGGGTGACCGTGCTGCTGGGTGTTGAGTGTTGCTCGGCTGGCCAGGCACTCGGGATGATGCAGCTCCAGTGTCAATGACTATTCCTGAGATGAAAGGCTCAGACCAGCAAGGTGACCTCTTGAACTTCACTTTCTGGGATCGCACAATGCGACGGAGCCTCAGTTTCTCATGTTTCAAACTTCCTCACGATGTCAAAGTTCAACGAGTGTCATTTGCGGCAGTGTGAATTGCGTGAGACAGCAAGAAGTGGTTTGGTTGGGGAGATGAGGCAATGAGCAACTAGGGAATAGCATTTGGCTCATATTGAGGCAGCCGCTTTTGCTTGAGGTTACAATGTCTCTGCCCCTGCTACCTTTCGCATGAAAGCCGATTGAACACATATAGTGGGTAGAGACGGTGTTCTCTACAATGCGGACACTGCATGCCAAGGCATGCGTCGTGAGGCCCAGTTCTTCTTGAGATCGCCCTTTTTCTTCTTCTACTTGGGAGAGCGGCCTTAGCTGCAAGACTAAGCCAGACAGGTGATGTTTTCCTGACAATGTCCGAGGCGCTTGAAGGGCTTTCTCTTGCACCTTCACCCCAGGTTCCTGGGCGACAAGGACAACGAAGAATACAAACAGTTCACAGCGCGGCGCGGTGCAGATCCTGATGGCAAGCCCCGGTTTCGCTGCTTTGGCTGAAACGCGGGACTGTCAGAGACATAGCCAACCAGCGATTGCAACACATGGAAAGGTCTCTCTTGAACTCAGCCTCAGGGACCTCCCCACTAAGGCCTGAACTGCGCCTGCGTGCCTGTGGCGCCGGGCTGGTCACGGCTGATCCTTTGCGATGCAAGTGTGCCAGGCGGGCGCACTCATGCCACGCATTGGTTTGGTTTGCAGGGTTACGGGGGGGGATCCTGGCACTCTTTCTCCATTCAAGCGCAGGAATGGATCATGCAATGAACTCACAGAGTTGGCAGCTTTCGAGGGTGGGCGCGAGCAAGTAACCACTAAACAAATACTTAAGAGGCTAGGTTGAGCCAGGATAAACCATACTAGGAAACGGTGCAAAACCACAAGGTATATGTGTCCAACTCAGTCCACGTGCTTGTGGCGCCTGCAGAAACACACTTTGCACTTGCGGCATTGCGTCCAACATGCTTTGCCGAGTCTGTAGACATGGAAGCCAGTCCGAACGGTTTTGAGTACGGTTGTCCCACCTGAGGAACTGGTGGCGTCCGCAGCGTCTTGGAGCGGTTAGGCGCCATGTCAAGGACCCAGGTTGAACTCGCCCTCCGGACTTGTGAGTGCGACGGCTCAGTATTTGGCTAGGCATCCGAGGCCAGATTCCTCCGTGGGTCATCCATTTGCTGTCCAACAGATTTCTGGAAGCTTGGCAAGCGTAAGCCATGTCAACCTTCCATTCCTCGCAAGCTTTCGCAGACCTGCCACAGATTCTTGCCTGGAGAAGTGTTTTTTGCCCGACAGCAAAGGGCTATTTGCATAGGTGAGGCTTGTGAGGCGAAGATTCACGCATCCGTTAGGACAGCGACCTGGCCTTTCTGCACCATCAGGAGCGGAAGCTCCGGCAAGGGCCTGATGGTTGCACGGCCTGGAACAAGGCTTACTACATGCCAGGCAGGGCGGGCCGGGTTTGGGCCATGGGTGCGTAACCGCAAGAGGGCCAAAGGGGGCGTTAACATTCGATGGAGACGCCGCCCTGGATATTTGGCTGGATGAGTAGCTGTGGCAAGATGTGCTCACAGAGCGCCGCCCTGCACCCTGATGAAAGGACTTTTGATTGAGTAGGCAGCAAAAAGGTAAATCCGCTCCAGTAAGCGTATGGCAGTGTGTCTTTCTTTGTCTCCCTTGCAAGTTTTCGCTGCTTTTGGGGTTGTACTGGTGACTGGTGCCGCTTTGTTTTGAGGTGAGGCTGACCGTAGCATCAGCGCTTGGCGGCAATGGCTATCCAAGGACAGCCGGTCGTGGGGCCTTGAGTCGCAAAAAAATCAACGCGATTTCTAGATACTTGAGTAAGCCACAGTCTTGTCAAGACTTAACCAGCTCTATTCTTGAATGAGGTCTGGCAGGCTTGGGTGTTCAAGGTATCATTACTTACTGCAGTTTCAACTGCCAATTTTGGCTCAGGGATTGATCCAAAGTGTATGGCAGGAACTCAGTATGCCATGCATACGGAGCGCCAGGTCCTGTCATCATGGACTTCCGCTATGAAGACTGCCGTGCGGCCTGCAACATGCGTCGCGGAAGAGGGGCCAAGCGCTGGTGGTGGAACCCCTATGCTCTTGGTGGGCCAGATCCAGGAGCAGGCCGAGCACCGAGTGCCCAAGTGGACCGCCTTGCCCGCCAACTGGATCGTGGCGGTGGGCACGGGCGCATCGGTCGATCGTATCCGCTGCGCCTCCCAAGGTCTACATTTCATTGCCGCTGCTTGAAGCGAAGCAAGCCGGTGCTCGTGAAGGTTTCTCCTGGACTACAGGTCCTGGAACTCAGGGAAGCCTTGCCGGACGAAGCCAAGCTTACCGCGGGTCTCTGCTTCAACCTCCGTGCTAGGCATGGACAATTCGCTTGCCCCATTTGAGCTTGTCTGCACGGTCAGTCATACAAGTTCCCCCCCCAACCATTCTTCCTGGTTCCTCTTCCCTTTTTTGTTTTGCGGGAGCTGACCAGTGGGAACGGTGGCAGGTGGCGCCCTGTCATTGGTTCCCAGGGAGAGTCCAACAGCGGAGGCATCGTTGAAGGCCCTGGGTTCCAGTTTTGAACTAGACGCTTTGGCCCTGTATGGCCATGTAGGGAGTGACCCACATGGCCTACCCCCAGGGCAGGTGTGAACCTGCTGGGTTGGTGGGTTTATCCAACGCATAACCCTGCGGGTGGCACAGGCTGGAAATTTGCATGGACAAGTGTTTGGAGAAAAAGCAGCTGCGCCGTCAGGGCTAGCGGAAACCGTAGGGCTAGGTTGACTGCAAGTAGGAATGAATCATGGAATCACGCAAGAGACCCCGCCCCCACCTTTAGCTGCGTGTCGCGCAGGGTTGTCGTCTTTGGGCACTCGGCAAGCCAGCAGCGCAGGAAGGAGCTCGATGTGTTGACCCCAAGGCAGGGCCGGAGCGCTGTAATGTTGCTTCCTTTGCAGTCTTATCTTTGTGCCTTTGCTTCAGTTTCAGTCCGAGTGGAGCAGCATATTTTGGTTTTTCTCGAAGGACTTCTGAGGGAATCAACAGCTGGACAATGGCACCACTGCCAATCCGGCAACAACATCCAGAGTCTCAATCAAACAACAACTTCGCCAATTCGCCTTTGAAATGCTCTCAGCCCGAAATGAGCGTGAGAGTGAGCTGGCTTCGTTCTTCTGTCAGCCAACCAGAGACCGAACTGCCCCTCCAAGTCCTGTGTTTTTTGGTCCGGCAAGAGCTTGGGCGGAAGCCTTTTGTTTTGCCAGGTCAAGCTGCCAGCTTCTCCTTTGTCGCGGGAGCATCTGCTGAACCGCTGGGAGCAGCACTCGGCCAGCTGCAAGCACTGCCGCCAGGCAGGCTTTTGAGATCATTTCCCCCCTTTCCCCCCTAACTCCTTCCCGAGATCTTCTCCCTTTTTCCTTTCTAAGATCTATTCCTCCCTTTCCCTGTTAAGATCCCTTCCCCCCTTTCCCCCTTAAGGCCTTTTCCTTTCCTGAGATCTTCCTCCCGAAGATCTTTTCCCACCTTTCCCCCTCTAAGATCTTTTCCCCCCTTTTTCTCCCCCCCAAGATATGTGAAGATCTTTGCTCCCCCCACCCCCGAAGATCTTTGCCCTCCTTGCCACCCTTCCCCTCTAAGACCTTTCCCCCCACCCTTCCCCCCCTTATAAAATCTTCCCCCCTCACGTTTCCCTGTTTTCCCACCTTCCTAAGATCTTTTGCCCCCTTCCCTCCTTATAACATCGTTGCCCCCCTTTCCCCCCAAAGATCTTTTCCACCCTTTCCCCCCCGAACTCCCCACCCCCTTATAAGATCTTTTCCCCCCTTTCCCCTACTCCTAAGACCATTTGCAACCCCTTTACCCTAAGATCTGTTTTGTCCTCCTAAGATCTCTTCCCCCTTTCCCCCTCTCCCCACCTAAGATCTTTTCCCGCTTTCAGAGATCTTTGCTCCCCCCAAATCTTGGCCCCCCTTACCGATATCTTGTGGTTGGACTTTATGTGGTGGCCCTGGATCTATTCCGGGGAGTTCCAAGTGTCAATACTGATGGATTGATACTGGATAAGCGCTGGTAAACTGGGTGTTGTGGTTTATCCTGACAGTGGTCCGCTAGCACATTTGTATCACGGATGCAATGGCTCAGTGAGCTATGTACATCTGATGTGTGATTGAGCCAAAATGGTTACGTGTGGCGTGGAGATCAATGGGTCCAGAAAACAAACACTGATCTCCAGCACTGAATTACTATTGGCTTATTGGCGCCGACTTAATGCTTGAGGTTTGCCTTGGACATATGAGGACCTGTTGCCACCAGGCAATCGAAGGTTGTCGTACCGTACTCCGGATCTATGCAGTCGATCTCTGTGCCAAAAAAACATCTGAACATTCCGAACGTGGTTCCCCAGTTCTGGGATCTCGTTGAGATGTATCTTGCCAAAAGTTCGACTCTGGCGTGCTTATTGCCACGGGGCGATGGGTCTAGCAGACCATGACTTGATCACAATGCCTTTGTATCCTGAGAGGACAAACAAGCGAATGAGCTCTTGAGGATCCAGAAATGCGTCTGCTTCGTTGAGGCACATGTTTTGAGCACTGTTGTGTGGCAGCATCCGTGTGATCGGTCGGTCTCGCATGGGCATGTTTTTCAGTTCTCTGCCGTCCAACTTCGGATTCCTCGTGAGGTTCCCGTGATTCATGGTGAGTATGTTGATGATCATGGAGCAGTGGCAACACTTGTCCATCACGGGCCCTTCAGTTGCTTGCATCAAGGAGCTGAGGATATCCGTGTATGCCTTGATCGTCTAGTGTCCAGCCAGGAATGGAACCCGCCAGGGAAAGAGTCGTCAAACACAGGGTCACGATGGAGAACCTCAATCCTGACAATCTTGCTGAGTTCAACAAGGAATTCTAACAGGTCTGATCGACTGCGAAATGAGTAAAACTGAAGCAGAAAAAGAACTCAAGATTACCAAGGAAAGCTTCAAGGACTTCGTGCAAAGGTATGAAAAGAATCCTCAGAAGGCTCACAAGGACCTCAACCAGTGTGAGATTGTCGATCCTGACGAGCGTGTTGATGAAGAAGTTTCTACTTTCGCCACAGCAGCAACAAGCCAGCCATGGAAGAGCACAGAGCTGCACAACCGGCATCCGGGTATCCGATTCGACTGCCACTTGGACTCATCGCCCGTGTCAGTGGAACGCCGTCTTTTCTTGGTCTCGTGGATGCGTTCTTCTGAGATTGGTCCTTATCTGATTTGTTGGCATTGACATGGTTGAAGAAATCCTGCGCGAACTCGTGGATCTTGGTCACATACTGTTCCAGATCCTCTGTGTCCAGGTTGTTCTTCATGATCCAGAAGTTGGTCTGCATTTCCTGTCCCTCAGAATCAATATGCCGCAAGTGACCGATGGTGTCTTCGGATAATGCAGCGCGTTCCTCGGTGAGCCTGATGCCTGGGTGGTTGTTTTTGAGGAAGCCAAGGATCAATAGGGCGTCTTGTCCTCCAGGCGCATGTGTCAATGCTGCTTTGGATGGCTCATCGAACGCTCGCAAGATGGACATGTAGTCTTCCCCGTGGGGTCGAGCTCTTCCCCGGCTTAACTCCCTGCTCCAGAATGCTGTATATCTGGTCGTTGTAAGTAGCATGGGACATGAATGTGGTCGGCTTCTTGCTGAACGGCCAAATCTTTCTATCCTGTTCCACCGAGTCAGGCGCCGGTCTTCGCGTCCCATATTGCTGCTGAGTGGCGCCGTATGCCGCGTGTGGCTTGTTGGATCTGGAGGGGATGCGCTCGTGACGTGTTGATGACGGGAGATCATAGTCCGGTTCTTGCTGTCGGTAATCTTTCTTCTCGGTGTATAGCGGTCGTCCCATGGATTCGAGCCCAACGGGACGTGCATGACCACTGCAGCGTCTCACGTACAGTTCCATTCCCTTGTCGCTGTAGAATGCTGTTTTATCAGGTCGGAGAGCGTCGTACACTGGTTGTCAATCCACCTGTTCTTGGTTACAATGGAGCCTTTCTGTTCTCGTTCCTGATATGTTCCGTCATAGTTTGGAAACACAAGTGCGATCTCAAGTCTGGATTTTGGAAACATAGTCATCAGGAAACTGAGGGGCTTGTTTCCCAGGAAATTCTTTGCATGGCTGATGCCGCACAATGCCTCGTAGAGCTCGCAGGATCTGTCAGGACTGACTTGGATCTCTTTCTTGAACGGGCGCTTCTCTCCTTGGGGTCGTGTCGCAGGCATTGGGAGAACAATCTGCTCAATCTCTCTACTCTCCAGAGGATGAAGTGACGGATCTGTTGTGCCTTGGACTCGTCAAGGGAGAAATGCCTGCAGATTGATTTGGGATTGATGATGGTTCTTCTCATGTCGATCTGTCTGTTGTGACATACCATTGGAATGATATCTGATCCGCGACCATCCGGATCTGCATTGGCATGGCAGCAAATACTGTAGATCTTCTTGATATACTCCATGTAAACACTCTCTGTGTGCTCCCCATATCCTTGGAATGTAGGAGCCCACCAAGCACCGAACCGTGCCTTTAGCCAGAAAACCTTGTCTCTCTGGTCTCTCTAGCGTTCTGGAACGAAATGGAAAGTCGGTTCGTATTCAAGAACGGTGGAGCATTCCTGGTATTAGCCCTGGATGTAGCTCAGAAATTTGCTGTGCCAAACTGGCAGGATGATCGGATTCCTTCAGGAGGCGAATGGTCATCCTCTCAGGCTTGTGCGATGTGGTCCATTTTGATTGATCGATGGATGGAGGTGGAGCATTCATTGTTGGCTTTCTGGACAGTGGTGCCCGGTTGTCGCGGTAGTTGTCGGACTCTGTCACCTCATCAAGGCCTTGATCTTCGGTGTCAATCAAAGCGGTGGATTCATCGGCATGGCCTCCTGCTTTGGCTGAGAGCTTTTTCCGAGGAGTTGCTCTTTCCTCTTCTTTTCTTTCGCTGTGTCGGACTCTTGCACCGTAGAGTCGGATTCTCGATCCTAATCGGCCTGGTCCATGTCGACATCCTTGGTTGCCTGAGCATTGGACGGCGCAGGATCTTCATCGTTCATCTGCTCCATGGGGATGTCAGCAAGTTCTTCTTGTTCATGGACAAGAGAATCCCTCAACGGTGATGCCCTTCTCTTCGATGCAGGCTTCGGTGTTGGTGACTTCGGAGGAGCCAGTCCGAAAATATTGCTGAGAAATTGCATGTCGACAGTATTGCACACACAAGATCGAATTGGTCGGGGTATTGCAAACCAAATCGGCTGCGGATGCTCAAGAATGGCTGAGTGCAAAAGGTCAACACGGCATTGAGGAAGTGAGAAATCAAAAAGGAAAGAATCATGCATCAAATTCTGTGGACATGACGGTCATGCCCAGATTCCCCAATAAGCAAACATGGATTCTGCTACACCAACTCCTGCGAAAACAGAGATGTCGGGTCCGTGCTTTGTGTTGCGTGCGAGCCACTCAACCAGGAATTCCTGTGCCTTGTTCCGCAACATGGTACGAAATGGCGGATGCGCACTGGCTTTCAACAGATTGCCCGTAAGGCCTTGATGAGCTCGTCTGGCTTTGCTGAGTGTTTCGTCAGCGAATCGACGAGGCAATCTTCACTTCGTACAGATGCAAGATTATGCATGTGTCCGCTATTGCTTTCCTTCTGAACCAAGTGCGTGGTTTCTTTCTGTTGTGGTTGATGGGTCGTTGATGCTGCCGAAACCAAATTGTTGGCATCAGTCCGAATGTGAACATCGGCAATTTCGCCTGTAGCGGTGATCTTATGTGTCTCGTATTCAACCAGTGAACCTCTCGAGTTCGAGGTACCTTGTCGGAGATTTTGTTGTTCTGCTAGAAAGATAACGCGTGCTCGCTGGGATGACTTATCTTCATTGATGCGGTAGGATGCGTCTGGATGCGTGTCTTCCCATGAAGGGGCCAGAATCTCATGCTAAGAGGGATGCTCTTGATGGTTCTGACTGTTTAATTGATGGCGCGAACGTCCTCAATGGTCGGTGATGCTGCCTTGGATGCGCGCCTGGAGAGTTGGTGGCGATTGTAACCAGTTGATCTGACCCAGAACACTTCTGTATGCAGTGTGCATCTGTGGCGTGAGCGGAGTGTCATCTTTCAAGTTCTTGTCGAACGCAATCTCCTGAAGTTCATCAATGGCAACGTTCTGGTGAACATGAATGTACCAACCGTGCTTGTCGTCAGTCTTCCATTGGATGCGTTGCCCCACGAAAAGGAAGTCGTCCCATGATCTCCTTCTCAAACACATCATCACCGAACATGAAGAGACAGAGCTCCATGAACTTGTCGATTCTTGGAGTTGTTACCGGAATCA